CAAAAAAAAAAAAAAAAAAAAGCCATTTTGATTTATGGTATGTCAATTGCATCTCAACAAAGCTGTGGAAGGAAGGCAGGCCGGCAGGCGGGAAACCATCCACAGAGATGGTCAAGTGTGTACCTTCCTTCAGAAACCTGTTTCCATGTCCCTCGTTCTCAGTGGCTCTTTCTCCCCACCCAAGTCACCTGAATGCCATTTAGTTCCTTTACTACACCTTATTTTGTCCATGATGAAAAGATCATCATCTTTTATAATTCTTTCTATGTTTTTGGATTTTATTATAATGACCCTCGGTCCTCCCTTATAGAGATGTTCAGGCTCATTGATGGCATAATAAGGTTATAAACCCCTTGAAATGAGGGCAGGAGTGACAGGAAAAACATCTATCAAAATAAGGGCATAGAACTGAATAGTTACAATATCCTCCATAGATTTCATTTTTCATATATATATATATATATTTTTAGACATGGTCTTGCTCTGTTGTCAGGCTGGAGTGCAGTGGTGTGATCATAGCTTACTGTACCCTTGAATTCCTGGGCTGAAGTGATCCTTCTGCCTCAGCCTCCAGAGTAGCTGAGACTATAAGCACACATCACTATGCTCAGCAATTTTTTTTTTTTGGTAGGGATGTCACTGTGTTTACTATGTTGCGCAGGCTGTTTTCAAACCCTGGGCTCATGCGATCCTCCTAAAGTGTTGGGATTATAGGCATAAACCATCGTGCTGGGCCATTTTTCTAATCTTTAACCATATTTATTGATAGTTTTCCTTCCTTTCCACAGCCTAAGATGATTGTTTCCTCCTGGGAACAGCATGGCAGAGCAGAAGGGCAGGCTTGGGAGACTTGGAACCCTGCCTTGACTCTGCCAGACTACCTCACTTAAACAAGCTACTTACTCTTAGGACTCAATTTATCTGTAAAAAAGAGATAATAATCGATTGCTATTTACTTGACGGTAAAAGGCCAGACCTATGAGACCATGATTCCCGAGGTTCTTTTAAGTTGTGAAGTCACAGGTTGGATCAACTTCCAAAGCTGAGAATAATGGGATTTTTTTTCAGGTATCTGTACCCTACACAGTAATATCTAGTCAATTTAAAACTTAACTAACAGGCAATGTCAAATATCTAAATGTCAGTAAGTCTCCAAGTAGGCAAGAGGATTTCATGAAGTCCACATACAAAAGCTTGTATGGCTAACTTACAGGCTTCCAAGACATACTGATTATACTTACAGTTTTAACAGGGTTGGCCACTAATTTCTAAGCCCAATACAGATTAGACAGGGTAAACAGGGAGAGGAAAAAGAACTGTAATTAGGCATCAACTACATGACCTAACAGAGAGGCAGAAAAAGATATTTAAAATATAATCTGGATGCATTTAGGGCATATTTCAGTGGGCCCTGAAGGCAATAATGTTTTCCAGCAGAGTAAAATAATTTATGATGACAAAGATGATGCTTAGATGCCTAGAGGAGTTAAATTATATAAGATGGCAGGGAAGGCCACTGTATACATATCATATACATTTTAAAGATTTCCATGTAAGTTATATTAAAAACAACAAAAAATGTGGTACCCAAATTTAAACTATAAAATAGTAGGCTGTAAAACTGTAAAACTCTTCTGCATCTTTGGATGTTTACTGTCTCTAAACCATTTATTGATCACTGCTTCTGTAGTGCCTCATGGTGCTACCTGTTTTTAAGCTGCTGTACTGAGTGCTGTGCATCATTATTCTCATTGAGTGTCTCGCAGCAGTCCTATAGGGTTAAGTACTGTCCTCACTTTACTTGCAGACACAGGACGGTGAAGTAATTTGCCCAGTTACATAACTAGCAAGAGGCAAGTACATTCGAGCTTTGAATCATGGATCTGCCAGATTCCAAAGCACATGCTTTTACAGATTCCACTATTTATTGGTGGTTGAATTATTGATTTATTTGTCTATTTGACCCATCACCATCCCATTATTGTTCTCAGCATTGGAAGTTAGTCCACTCTGTGACTTCACAACTTAAAAGAGCCTTGGGAATCACAGGATCATAGATCAGGCCTTTTGCTCTGAAGTAAATAATTGACTATCTCCATTTTACAGATAGAGAAACTAAGGCTTAAAGAGTAAGTGGCTTGCTCAAGTGAGGTAGTCTGACAGAGTCAAGGCAGGGTTCGAAGATCCCATTAGACCAACTCTTGAGGGTAGGGACTCCATCTCACTTGCTTGTACATACCATGGGAACTGGCACACAGTATGCAGTTAAAAAATGTTCAATGATCCCAGCACTTTGGGAGGCCAAGACGGGTGGATCACGAGGTCAGGAGATTGAGACCATCCTGGCTAACACAGTGAAACCCCATCTCTACTAAAAAAAAAATACAAAAAACTAGCCGGGCGAGGTG